TAGTTTTAGGCACCATATTGGATTTAGTATGCATCCTTAAGTAAGCAAATAAGACTTAATATTATTTTCCAAGTTTATTGGAGGTGTTTGGTAATTTTTTACCTTTAATAATGCCAAAATATATGTTGGCTACTATAATATGTAAAATTCGAAAACAAATACTAAAAAAAATCTTTAGAGGCACTACAGGTTTCAGAAACTCATTTGGTGTGTAGAGGTCACATAAAATGTTATCAAAACCCAATAAAAAATAGTTTTGGCTAAAAATTTTTTAACTCACCTTGTTTAAGATCCTTATGTGGTAAAATTTCATTATCTTCGTTTGAATTTTGGTCAATACGTTCCTTGTTGGTTAAATTTTTCTCCCGAGGTTGCTCCTGGATTGAGTTTTCGTCCAAAGAAGGAAGTAATTCGAAATCGTTTTGGTCTTCGGTGCTAAAAGTTTCTGTATCTGCAATTTCATTATCTGAAATTTTGAATCAACACTTTATCTGGTTATTTTGTTAAAAAAAATTGAGGTTTTTAACCTGTTTTTTCAGTTGTTGATGTAGTAGTAGTAGTAGATGTAGTTTCCGGTGTAGGACTAGTTTTTGACTCAGTTTGCTTTTTTCTTCCTAGAAATATTTTAAATTGTTTATAAAAAATCAAGTTTATGAAATAAAACAAATCATTATATTGATTTTGTTTTTTTTTATAAATAATTTATCAGGTAGAATTTATCAGGTTTGTTAAAAATATTGGGCAAAAACGAATATATTTATTTATAACAAAATTTGTAATTTTTTACAGTTTGTACTAATTTTTTGTCCAAAATTTACATAATTTGTTCATCTGTACTAAATTATTACACTTTTTACGAACCATATAATATTTTTTAAAATTTTACGTGATACATTTACTTATCAAAATTTATTAATTTCACCATAATTTTTCAAGATTTAACATCTAGTATTATATTTTATAAGTTTTAAAAATTTATTGAATTTTACTAACTAGTACGTGGTTTTCCAGGTCTTGCATAAGATTCTGTAATTATCACTAAAATTATAAAAATTACAACTAAAAATTTTGTATTTACTCCAAATTTCATTTTATTTCTACAACGACACAATAAAATTTATTTAGAAAACTGAATTTGAAACTCTTGCAAAATTTTTCACTAAGTACAAATGTTTATTAAAAATTTGGAAAAAATAAAAGTGAATATTGAGCAAAGTACTCAATTTTCAAATGCGTTTGTTTGATCAGTTGGTCATTTAGAATAATTCAAAATAGAACAAAAATTTTATATTTTTATTATTATTTGCTTTATTTTTTATTATTATTTGCTTGACAAGAGCCTGCAATAATATCTATTATTATTGAATATGGCTTGCTTATGAATAAATAAATAAATAAATCAATATAATTTAAAATTTTCAAAGTAGGACTACCAAATAAGTCAAAAAAATACAAAATACAATTAAAGTTTTGCATTTTATATGACAAAATGTGCATTTTTTCTATATATTTTATATGAAAGAAAAATTAACTTAAATAAATAACTTTAATATTTTAATAATTTGGGGTTTCGTTTATTTTTTTTTAATTTAATACGCCTATTTTTATTTAAAAATTTTTATATTATATTTGAAGTTAATAATAATTAGTAACTAAACCAAAAATTCTGTCTGCAAACAATTTAATCCTGAAATTTGCAGAATAATTTTGTGAATATAAACACATTTTTTTCTATTCTGATTTATTTCTTTGGTATATTTTTACAAATACATATATTTCTATCTTTATGTGTGTATATACAATTTTTTGTCGACGATTTCTGGCGTATGGATTAACCGATTTGAATGATTCAAAAAACAATAGATTTCTATTGATAAGGAGTTGTGCTGATTAGTTTTTGGCAAAGGCAGTTCCAGCCGTTTCGGAGATACGGAGCAAAGAGTGCAAAAAATGGCAGTTTTTGAGTGAACTAAGCGTCCGATTTAAATAATTCAAAGAACTTTCTGCTTGTATTGACAAAACAATTGCTTTTGAGAATTAAAAATTATTACATTTTTTTTATTTTCTATAAAACATTTTTGTAATTTTGGATTTTTAAATTCAAAAAATTACCCAGGCTAAGCACAGTCTAAGCGCCACTCCGGTGCAAATGTTTACCCAAGTGCGTTTAGATTGTTTATGTACTGGAGCACTTTTCCAATTTTGTGAAAAGCAAACTATTGAAAAATGTGAAAATGCCGCCAAGCTAAGAACAGTCTAAGTGAAAATGTCGCACAGAATTATTTGCAAATGCGTTTAGACTGTGACTATGCAGGAGCACTTTTTCAATTGTGTGTAAATTAGGCAACTAAACTATTTTTTTAAAATTGAATTCGAAATGAAATGACAATTGTTAATGTTTTAGAGATAAGTTGATTGATTTATGATTTACATTTGATTTGCTCAGATATAACAAACAAGATAGCGAAGATAATGAAAGTTACAGTATTTGTAATAATATATTTGAAAACATTTAATATTCTTCAAATATTTCATTATGGTACGGGAAGTTCCAGCAATTTGCCTTAAGGCACGATGACATATACCTCCAGTTTCTCTTAAAAAAGCAAATATAATTTATAAAATGCAAAAACAAACTGCAGTAAATATATAATTTTAGTATCTTGTGAAATAAATTTCGCAATATTTTTTTAAGACATGTTTTTTATTTTATTTTGCACAATCGAAAAATTACAGTACATACAGTACAAATTTTGTACGGTTACAGTTTTGTATATAAGTAGGATGAAAATGTCTTACAATTAGACTCATAAAAGTATTTCGAAAATTAATTCGATATTCTTTGTTTTTGAAAAATTTTGTTCAAATTTCTAACTTAAAATTTAAATTTTTAATCATGAAGTTCTGGGCTATTTTATTAATTGCTTTAGTGGTTGTCCATTGTGTATTTGCCTCCGGTAAAAAGTATAGCGATTGCTCCAAAAAAGACGGTAATATATGTAATATATATATATATATATATATATATATATATATATATATATATAAATATTAATGTATATAGCATTTTTATCTAAAATGTAATTTTAGGACGACACCAAATAAGTGATTTGTGTAAATCTGGTCCATCCAATTGTAATAAACAGAATTGCAAAGATAAATGCAGAGTTGAAAATCCCACCCCTAAATGTGGAGATGGAACTTCTGACAAAAATATTTGTTATTGTAACTAAATCCTGAAATTTAAATTTTTCTGATTTATTCAGCATCCAAAAATAGTGTAAAAAATATAATTTACCTAAAAATAAAAATTTACCAAACTACAATTCAATCGTGTTGTGTAATTCCAAAAATAAATATGTATGTATTGTCAAATTTAATGAAATATATTTAATATGCAAAGAAAAAATATTTTTAACTTCTCGTAGGGTAAATTATCGTAATCGCCCAAAAATAAAAATTGAAAATTATTATATATCTTTACGTTTCAGAGGTTTCTGAACATCTTGGCATACCTCAGAAAATGAATGCGTTTCGTATGTCTGCATTTTTGTCCAAATTTTCGGGCGCATGCATGAACCGATTTAAATGGTTCGTAAAACATTCGATTCCTATTGAGGGGGAGATGTGCTGATTAGTTTTTGGCAAAGGCAGGTCCAGCAGTTACGGAGATAAAGAGCAAAGAGTGCAGAAAATACAAATCGAGTTTTTGAGAGAACGGAGTATCGAATTTCAATGATCCAAAAAATATTCTATTCGTAATGATAGGGAAAAATTGTGATTAGTTTTTGCCAAAGACAGGTCCAGCGGTTTTGGAGATACAGTGAAAAATTAGAAAAAAAGTTATTTATCGGTATTAAATGATTATTAGACATATATTTGTCAAATATTTTATACAGATTTTTAGCATGTGCCATAATTTTGTTTAAATTTTTTGAGTTCCGTATCAATATTTTTAATTTTTCAAGTTCACTTATACTGTTCAAACTAATTTCAAAATTTTCAAAAATATACAAAATTTTATACTTTAAACATAATTTTTAAATTTACAAAACAGTTTAAAATTGTATATATTTCATATTTGTTATTGTAATCGTTACAAATATATCCTCAGATGGGTTCTTTTGACATCTTTTCTTAATGTAAACATTTTCAAGTGTTTTGAGTGATAAGATAGTAACTGTATATTATATGAACGAATAAATATATAGTAATTATAATTATTTCATTGATTAATATTTATTGTTTATTATTTTTTGCTCGAATATTTAACTTGTTTCAGCAATTTGCCTTAAGGGGCACAACTAGTGTAACCGTCTAAAAAAAGGTGATTTTTGGGAATTTATATTAAAAAAACTACTTTATCAAGCATTTCAAAATTTTAAGAATATATTTACACATGTTTTAGGAATACATAGTAAAATTTTTGAAGAAAAAAATTAAATATTTTTTAAGTTATCGTCGATCTCCAACTGCGTGACAAAAAAAGGCCCTTAAATGTTGCAGTGATTCCGGCCTTCTACGTGGATGAAATTTAAAAAAAAATATCGTTAAACTAGATAATATTGTCTGTAAAATGATCTACGATAAAGATAAAAAATCAAAAATTGACAAAATGACGGCGTTTTTTAAAAAAAGTCGAATTTTACCCTAAATTTTGGTCGTTTTTGGACTGCCAAAATTCGATTTTTGATCAGATCAAAAAGTCAATAGGTCATTGTACAGAGAACTATATATAGAACATGTAAAAAAAATTCGATAGTGATCGAATCATTTGTTTTTGAGTAATCGCTGCAGCAAATTAGGAAAATGCTGTTTCGAGAAAAACGCGTTTAAAAATAAAATGATCCGTATACTATATACTATATATATTCTCTTTGAATGGCTGTGACTCAAAAACTATTTAAAATATCGATTTAAAATTTTGGTATGTTATTTTCAAAGGTATAACCTATCGAAGTATGGAAAAATTGAAAATTTGATTTTTTGAAAATTTCACACTAGTTGTACCCCTTAAGGCACTGCATCACTAGTTGTTCTTGATTCAGGCATGATTTAATCTGATCTTTCAATGTCTTAAATCCTTCATTAATTTCAACAATAATTTTTTCATAAGAGTAGGATAAAAATTTCTGCATGATCATACATGTGTAATATTCAGGAGTCAAACTCGCTCTGCAAATACTTTCTGGTGTAATTCCAAAGTAACCCATTGTTTGATTTGAAACAATTGTTCCTGCTAAATCCATATCATCTGGAAAATTGATATTTTTTATTACAATTGAATGCTTTATATTTTTCAATCCGTGCATCGTTTCTACATTGAATTTCAGAACTTGTGCGTTTTGTTCAGCTGGGAAAAAAATATGTGTGAAATATGTAGAATATGTTTTTGCACCTATAAATTGTCCAGTATGTGATCGAGGACGAACTGGTTGTCCAGAGTATAAAGCTTCTACTTCTACTTCATCTAATTTGTGACAAGAATCTGCTAGTAATAATTGTTTGCTGAAATCTGTTGTATTGTTCATAATGCTATTGGAAATTGCTAAAAATTCCCTGTTCCCATACATATATAAATTCATTATATTCCAAACGAATAACTTTGCTGCTACAAGACTATTTTGCAAGTTCATGGAATTAATTTTCTTTTGCAAAGCTTTTAATCCCATAGCTGCCAAACGGATTGTAGGTGCTTCAGTTATAACATCAAAAGCCTTGCTGTATATATTATTGGTAAAAACACGTTTAACAACATTTTGAATCGTTTTATCAGCTAACTTTTTATCAAAATCATTTAATACTGAAAGGGCATTAGGATAATGATGCCCAGTTCGTTTTGCTAAATTGTGCAAATTCTGTTTAGCACGTTGAAATACCTCTTTACCACCGCCATCTCTGTATTTGAACAAATGTTCCTTTAAAATAGGCACTAGTAGTTGTCCGTGAACAAAATTTGTTTCATTCAGTGTGAAAATAATACCTGCATGCATTTTATTTACAACATCTACATCATCTATCAGTTTTGTGACTTGTATGATTTTATTCAGCTTGCCTGTCCAAAATTCTATTTGGGTTATAAAATAATGCATAATACGCCTGGAGTGTATACTTCCAAACAAACTTTTTGCTTTCGCCAAGTCTTCAGTACCAAGTGCATCCATTATACCATAAATCTTTCTACCATCATCCATAAAGTTTTTGACATCTTCCAACCCTAAAATTTTTTCCTCCCCACATGTAACGTTGACCATATGGTAATGATTGGGTACTTGGTCAAGTAAATTTCGAATTTGTTCTAATTTTCTATCTTTACTGATGTCTGGTGATTCTAGTTCTTCGACAAGATTTTTGAAATTTGTGATTGGTTGACGAATTTCTTCCAAAGTGCAAGGTGAACTTAAGGCTGATATTTTGATTGCACCCAAAAATGCAAGTAGTAGTAACTGGTACATGGTTAATCTGAAAATATGAAAATCATTGAATTAAACTAGTCGTGTATAGCATCGTGCCTTAAGGCAAATTGCTGGAACTTCGCGTACCGTAATGGAATATTCGAGAAATTTTAAACGTTTTCAAATATATTATTACATTTACTGTTACTTTCATTAATTTTGCTATCTTGTTTGTTATATCTGAGCAAATCAAATGTCAATCATAAATCATAAATCAAATTATCTCCAGAACATTAACAATCGTCATTTCATTTCGAATTCAATTTAAAAAAAAAACAGTTCAATTTACACAAAATTGAAAAAGTGCTCCCGTACAGTCACAGTCTAAACGCATTTGCAAATAATTCTGTGCGACATTTTCACTTATACTGCGCTTAGCTTGGCGGCATTTTCACATTTTTCAATAGTTTTCACAAAAGTGGAAAAGTGCTCCAGTACATAAACAGTCTAAACGCACTTGGGTAAACATTTGTACCAGAGTGGCCCTTAGACTGTGCTTAGCCTGGGTAATTTTTTGAATTTTTAATTCAAAATTACAAAAATATTTTTTCCTATTGATCGGGAGATGTGCTGTTTAATTTTTGTCAAAGGCAGCTCCGGCCTTTACGGAGATTCAGAGCAAAGAGTGCAGGAAATACAAATCGAGTTTTTGAGAGAACGGAGTATTGGATTTGAATTATTCAAAAAACATTCAATTTGTAATGATTGGGAGAAGAGGTGATTAGTTTTCGGCAAAGGCAAGTCCATCTATTTAGAAGATACAGAAGAAAAAGTAAAAAAAAAACTATTATTTTTGGCGGTCAAAAATGATCATTAGACATATGCACATCAAATTATCAGATATTTCATAGAGATTTTAATAATTTGTATAAATTTTGTTTACATTCCTATGGGTTCCGTACCAAGATTTTTAATTTTTAAAGTTCACTTACACGGTTCAAGCAAATTTTAAAATTTTCAGAAATATTTTATTTCTAAAGTTCCAAAAATATACAAAGTTTTATACTTGAAATATGAATTTCATATTTACAAGTCATACATTTTTAATATATGTATACATTTATATGTATACTCAAAAATGTATATATTTCAAATGCGTTATTCGTGAGAAATATATCCTTAGGATTCATTTGGCATCTTTTCTTAATGTAAACATTTTCAAGTGTTTTGAGCGATATGACAGTCACTGTATATTATATGAACGTTAAAATATATAGTGATAATAATTATATTTGGAAATATTTAAAACAATTGTAATTAATCACAGATAATTATTTATTGACTATTAATTTTTTTGTTGCTTGAATATTTAATTCTGGTACGGGAAGTTCCAGCAATTTGCCTTAAGGCTAGTTTGAATCAACTGGTTGACAAAAACTTTCCAGAAAAAAGACACCAAAATCTGTTTAATGTTTAATTCAAAAAATTCTTCAGTGTTCAAAAAATATCAGAATATTCTAAACAAGCAATTATTTCAAGATTCCCATTTTTTAAATGTTTCTACAATCTTCAAAAATGTTCAAAAAAAATCATAATTGTCAAAAAAATAAAGTTTTTTTCTGAGCTTTTACAAAGTTTAAATTACACTAAGAATAAGTCCAGTAATTTGTCTCAAGGCACAATGCCATGCACAACTAGTTTAATTTATTATTAGTACGATAGTAAAATTCTTAAGTATTGTAGTTTTAATACAATCAAAATAAACCTACCTTATTCTTTTTTATCGTTCGCAGATATTTTTTTAAATCACAATTTTGTAAAGTTGAAACTTTTGCACTCACAATATTATTTAAATAAATAACATTTGTCTATATCTATATGAGAAAAGATCTTAAACTGATTGCAAATTGAAAATAAATTTATTGCAATTATAGGGTACAGCGGGGCTTAAAGGTCCACCACCGACATCTCAAAAAACAGCAAATTTAAGAATTTTTTATCAATATTTGCAAGTAGAGGGCAAAGGATGTTTAACAAGCCATCACTTTGTTTCCTACGTTGTTGCTATCAGGAAATAAATGGCAATGTTAGAAAATCCACAACAAAAGTATTTTCTTTGGTTGCTAGTTTTTTTGGTCGTGAGCGCTGTTGTTTAGTTTACGAGACCTTAATATAATTTTTAAGTATACGTTATTTAATTGTTTAATAAGATGTCCACCATCGATATCTCCTAAGTAAAAAGTTAAATAAAAATGACAATAATATTTGGAAGTAGGGGGCAAAAGATGCATAACCAGGCATTATCTATTAGGTGATTCTTACGACTTTGCTATCAAGAAATAAATGGCAATGTTAGAAAATTCCTAATAAAAGTATTCTCTTCCCTTGTTAGTTTTTTGGTTGTGAGCACTGTTGTTTAGTTTACGAGACCTCACTATAATTTTCAAGTATACGTTATTTAATTGTTTAATAAGATGTCCACCATCGATATCTCCTAAATGAAAAGTTAAATAAAAATGACAATAATATTTGAAAGTAGGAGGCAAAAGATGTATAACCAGCCATCACCTTGATATTACGACTTTGCTATCAAAAAATAGTCCACAAAGTTTGAAATCCCATAACAAAAGTATTTTCTTTCGTTGCTAGTTTTTTTGGTCGTGAGCGCTGTTGTTTAGTTTACGAGACCTTAATATAATTTTTAAGTATACGTTATTGCATTGTTTTATAAGATGTATTGTTGATTTTAAGTTAAATTCAACAATTTTTTTTTAAATAATTTCTATAAAAGCTTACACGTGGGTGGGGTAAAAAGAACCAAATGAACCTTTACCTTGGCAAATGTGTAAAAAATAAAAAAATAGTTAATTGAGTTAATAAAGATAGATTAAATTAAATAAATAGTTATTTTTACTATGTTGATGAAGATTTTTGACAAAATACTAGATCAATGTTATGTACAGTATTATCCTTGACAAAAATGTAACCGTGAAGTTTATATTTTGCGTTGGTTGAACCAAATGTAGCTATTATTTAATAAAATTCTTCCAAAATTAAAAATAAGACATTGGATTTGTTTACCCCCTGGTCGTCCTTTTTTACCCCGCCTATGGGGTAAAAAGGACCACGTGACGATTTTTTTTTTGAAAAACAGCAGAAAACGCATATCTATAAGGATGAATTTTCTGGGAGATTTACTGAACATAGTCAGATAGTTGTTTGTTTGATATTTGTTATTTGTTGTAATATGGTTGGTTTGATTTTTACAATATATTTGCTCAAAGTCAAATTGGACCTTTGTGCCCCGTTCTACCCTATCACATTTGACCTGATAATATTGATGGTCAAGATTATAATGTTTGTTTACATTTGTAAATTCTCGAGATAAATTTATAGTAATAAATACAAAACAACCTAATTTTTTTTATATCTTTTATTTTTTTTATTTTTTATTCTTAAATATTTCTTATTTTTTAGATTTTTTATTTGTTAATTTTTCTGGTTTTCTATAACATCAAAATTGTTTTCACGAAAACATCGACCACATAATTTAAAGTTTTCCATATGTTTCGAGTCATTCTGAATCGTTTGAGATCAAACTGGACAAAGTATGTGTGTTTGTATAAACAAAATTATATATAATTTAATAAATTTTTATGAATTTAGTTATAAGATTTGTTATGTTTTTCCAGAGACATATTTTTAACTTCCCGTAGGGATAGTTATAGTAATCGCAAAAAAATCGAAAATGAAAATTTTTATATATCTTTGCGTTTCAGAGGTTTCTGAACATTCTGGCATACCTTAGAAAAAATGGATGTATGTGTGTGTGTGTGTGTGTGTATGTATGTATGTATGTATGTATGTGCGTGTGTGTATGTATGTGCGGATACAAATTTTCGTCGACGATTTCGGGAACACGGATCAACCGATTTGAATAATTCAAAAAACATTCGATTCGTATTGATAAGGAGACGTGCTGATTAGTTTTTCGCGAAGGCAGGTCCAGCCGTTTCGAAGATACGGGGCAAAAAGTGCCGAAAACGGTAACTCAGTTTTTAAGAGAACGGAGTGTCCAATTTGAATAAGTCAAAAAACATTTTACTTGTATTGACAAGATGAAAAATTGACCAAATTTTCATAAAGGCAGGTCTAGCGGTTTCGGAGATCTAATGAAAAAAGTAAAAAAAATGCCATTTGGCGGTCAAAAATGATCATTAGACATATGCACATCAAATTATCAGATATTTTATAGAGATTTTAACAATAAGTATGAATTTTGTTTACATTCCTATGGGTTCCGTACCAATGTTTACGCGTTAGACTGCGACGCGGCGCTTACGCGTTTTGATATTTCGTCTTTATGCAGTTAAAGCAGTACGATTGCTTTGAAAAAAGGTCAGATCTTCCAAAATATGTCAAAATAAAGAAAACATTTTTTTTTTCAAAAAAAAAAGAAATTTAAATTTTTTTTTTTTTTAAATTTTTTTTTTCAAAGAAAAGTAATTTTTTGTCCAATTTATAGTTTCTCAAAAATCTTATTTTTTCGAAGTAAATTTTTTTCAAAAATGTTAATCGTTTTTAAAAAAATAATAATTATTGGTACGGGAAGTTCCAGCAATTTGCCTTAAGGCACGATGCCTTAATTGCCTTAAGACAGAATTCCACTTATAGCTAGTCTTGACAAATTTTATAAAAATGTTACATACAAGGGTTGAAATATTAACTTGCAATGGATATGTTTATTGCATAGATTTTGTGTCAGTACTTTTTATTAGATTTTTTTAATAATATTATCAAAAGAGTTAAATTTTACTTATTGTTAAACTCATTATATATGTACATTTATTAATTATTCATATTTTCACAAATACATTTTTTCCTGTTTTTTCGTGGAGCATTGACACAAGTGCCCATATTCATTCCACATAAATTTTTGCAATGGTTTTTGCAAAAAGTTTCAGTAAGATTTCGAATTGCTGTTTTATAACTTTCATCACATAAAGCTAAAAGAATTTCCACATATTCTTCCTTAATTTCCCATTTCTTTTCTGAATCTATAAATAAAAAAAATTACTAATAACAAACTACTTCATCAATTTTATTTAGGGTGCTAATTATTAATACTGATAAAGATATAGTATCTACATAATTCAAAGACAAAAAAAAGTATATTGAAAATATAATATAAATGTATAAAAATATGCCTAGAAAAATTATATTAAAAATTAAATTAAAATTATATTATATATAATATATATGAATAAATAAACAACAAAATTTATTTAAAGTTTTATTCTACCAGTTTTGCCTGCTTCTTGTCCATAAAGGCAATCAGACGAATATAATTTAGAATTCGCAGTTTTTTTTGCCAAAACTACCCCTAAACATGTTATAAATATTAAACTTAAAATATTCATTTTTAATTTTTTCAATTTCAAAATATAAACAATATAGTATAGATAAATAAGTTGTTTTGAAGTATGGTTTTAGAATTGTCTAAATTGTTTATACATATTTTTGACTCATAAATATGTTGATTAATATGAAGTATTTTTTTCTAGAATTTGTTTCAAAATTTGTTAGTAAATATATTATTTTGCAAAATATTTTGTTTATGAAATATACACAAATAATACGAATATTAAAAAAAAACAACTTGGTCAAATATAATTTAATAATAAAAGAATATCAACTTGAAAGATACCAAATTCAATTTGTTTTTGAAAAAACTGCTTTTTTCATGATTTTGTATATTTAGTATTTTGATAGCATAAATTACACGTATAAATTTATGTAAAAAATATACTTTAAAATATATTTTCATCCACAAAAAATTTTCATTTTTCATTCTAGTGATGCATGGTTTTTCCTCCAATTTCCAATAAGGAACTTTTACATGATCTCCATCGATTTCCAACATTACTTAAAAAAACAAGAAAAAAATATTACAAATATCATTACAAATCATTATATCTAATCACAAATATCCAATCATTACAAATCATTATAATTGATTATTATATTTTATATAAAATTCTGGGTGTACAGGTAGCATGTGGCTGGGTAGGCAGGTAGACAGGATAAAGATAAGTATAAGAGGATTTACTAATAAATGATAATAATCATTACATTATTATTGATTATTATTTTTCTGGGTAGACAGGTAGACAGGTGTAAGAATAAGTATATTAAAAATATAAGTAAAATATATTTTTTGTATACTTACTGCCTTTACTGTCCTTTGGTGCTCCACCATTTTTGCAAAGGAATGAAACTTTTTCAGAATAAGTTGCAACAATCGAAACCAAAAATAATGAAATCAAAATTATCCTCATTTTTAAATATATATGTATATTTCTTTATATATATATATTTAGGTAATTTCTGTAGGTTTTGTACACTAAAATTTTACAAGAAATTGTTAGTTAGTTAGTTTCAGTTTTTGCCATATTATATATACGATTTTGTTTTGATTAAATTTTGAGTTTTTTCAAGTGTTTTTTTTTTCATGTGTTTTTTTTTTGGGTGTTTTTGTATGATTTCATAAATTCACACATTAATTTTGTAATCTTATTTTTATTATTTTACGACTAATTTTTTATTTTTTACAACCTTATTTTTATTGAATTACTGATTTTAAAATTAGTTACTTATTAGAATCAATTACTTTTAATAAACTTTTGAACAATAAAATAGTGAGATTATGTATATGTATTTTACATATGATGCAAAAATAAAGTAATTGTAAACAAATTTATAAAAAAAAGTGGAATTAAATTTATTGAAAAATG